AGGGGAATAGAATTCCTTTGGATGGTGTTAGGAAAGTTCTCTATGTGAAGGTGACATTTTAGCTGAGACTTCAAAGATGAGGGGATCCCCCGACCCATGCCTGCAAAGCCCCATAGACAGGTATTCTTGGTTGCAGGACAGTGCTTACCAAGGCCCTGGGGGGTGCAGGGAGAGAGCGCCTGGTGGGCTGGTAGTGTGAGCATGGGGAAGGGAGTCAAGATGAAGCCGAGACACAGGCAGGGGCCAGATCATAGGCTGTTAAGGCCATGATGAGAATTCTCAGTTTATTGTAACTGCAGGGAATCTAATGAACCAGCTGCAGAGATGCTTTTCCCGTGTGTGTGTGTGTGTGTGTGTGTGTGTGTTTGTCTTATGGGAAGGACACAGGGACACAGGAGGGAGAGACCTATTATTTTTCCTATGTGTAGATCCTTTTCAGCTGGTGATTTTCTCATTCAACCAACAGTTTTGCTTTAATGGTCAATAGAGGGCAACTTGTTGACTAGACTCTCTTCCTCTTCTCAGTAACCACTAATTTTTTGGAGCACTTAATCTGTGTTGGGTTCTGTGTTAAACGGTTTGCATTCATTATGTCATTTAATCTCCACTGGAGAGATGTGTACATTCTGTTCTTGTCTCCATTTCACAGATGGGGAAGCAAGCGCTCAAAGAAGTTAAGCAGTTAGCTCTGGACACAGCTAGACAGTTCTGGAGTTTTACCCTTGGCTTCCCTCCTGCCTCTGTCATCTGTTTGCAGTCTGCCCAAAACTCCATGTCATCAATGATTTTAGTCACCAAGTGTGATGGCCTTTCCTTAGAACTATTCCTCACCAATTTTCCTTTTGGTTCTCTTTTTTCTTAAATTTCTCCCTTTTCTGGCTTCTGTACACTGGTTCTCTTCAGATGCTCTCGTTCTTTTTGAGCTGTCTCCTTCAACCCCATACGCTTCTCTTGCCATACTCTTCCTTTGTGTGTGGTCTTGCCTCTGACAACCATCATCACTTGAAGGTGGGAGCTTTTATTTAAATTTTCTCTTAAGATGGAGGCAATTGCTTCTAATTTCCCGTTCCAGCATTTGGTAAGCAAATATTTGTTTTTTGTTTTTTTTTAATTGACAATAGTTAGTGGGCACCTACCACATGCAAAGCTTTGTTCTGGCATTGATGAGAATACAATGGCTGGGACAGGATCTCTGGGGCAACGGGATTAGCTTCATTTTTGTTCACACAGCTCTATTGCTGGAGCTTGTCATAGGTGCTCCGTATATATTTGTTGAATGAGTAATTTAGTTGGGGAGGCAAACTTGCACGTAACTGGCTCTAATTCAAGGTTGAATGGAGCAAATGCTCTAGTTAAGATGTCAGAAGGTGCTGAGAGAGCCCAACAGAGAAGGCTTCATGGAGGTGACACAGGCATTCAGTCTCTAAATCACCCTAAATTTTAGCGGTGTTCAAGAAATAGCAAGTGAGGGGTGCCTGGTTGGCTCAGTCGGTTAAGCATCTGACTCTTGATTTCAGCTCAGGTCATGATCCCGGGTCGTGAGATAGAGTCCCACATCAGCCTTTGTGCTCAGCATGGAGTCTGCTTGGGAATTTCTCCCTGTCTCTCTGCCCCTGCCCCACTCATGTTCTCTCTCTCTCTCTCAAATAAAAAAATAAATAAAACCTTAAAAAGAAAAAAGAAAGAGCAAGTGAGCTGGTGTGCTCAAGTATGATGCAGGAGGTAGTGCAAGATGGATGAGGTGAAAATGTGTTTTGGGAATCTCACTCTACTGCCAGTGTAGAGAATGACTTGTCTGGGGACAGACCATCCAGAAGAGTGGTTACCTACCCAGGCCAATGGCATGCAGAAAGCAAAACAGGGAGAGTGACCGCAAGAGTACTATAAAAGCAAAATCCATGAGCCTTGGCATTTAACTAGATAAAGGGGTATAAGAAAGAAGCAGGAACTAAAAATGACTTTGAGGCATCTCACCTGGGTGACTGCATGGTGATGGTGACATTTCCCAAACAGGGAACAGTGAAGAAGGGGAAGATTTGGTAGGGACTATGGAAGAAACTAAGCTTTGTCTTGATGTCTTAAACTGGAGATGCTGGTGGAGTAAAGCAGGGGAGATAGCCAGCAGAAAGCTGAAAATAAAAGCTGGATTTCAAGAAATACAGGAGCTTTCAGAGCTGATTGAGGTAACTGACATCATGGGAGATGCCATGATGTGTGAGAGAGAATTTTTGTTCATAGTTTTATTTTATTTATTAAATTTTTCATTTGAATATAGTTGACACACAGTATTATATTAGTTTCAGGTGTACAACATAATGATTCAACTTCTCTGTATGTTATGCTATGCTCACCCCAAGTGCAGCTTACCATCTGTCACTATACAACACTATTACAATATTATTGACTATATTCTCTTTGCTGTGCCTTTTATTCCCATGACTCATTCATTCCATAGCTGAAGATCTGTATCTCCCACTCCCTTAACCCATCTTTTCCTTCCCCCTAGGCAACCATCAGTTTGTTCTCTGTAGGTCTGATTCTGCTTTTTATTTGTTTATTCATTTTTTTTTTTAGATTCCACATTGGAGTGAAATCATATGGTATTTGTCTTTCTCAGTCTTTCTTACCTTACTTGGCCTAATACCCTCTATGTCCATCCATGTTCTTGCAAATGGTACCATCTCATACTTTTTAAAGGCTGCCTAATATTCCATTGTGTGTATATGTGTGTGTGTGTGTGTGTGTGTGTGTGTGTGTACACCACATCTTTTTAAAAAATCTATTTATCAGTGGACACTTAGGTCGCTTATGGGAGAGAACTTCACTTAAGCAGAAAAGAGGGCTGATGGCTGTGGACAACCTTTGAATATTTCTTTCTCTCCCGTGAGAGTTACAAATTCAGTGTGTCCAAAATGGAATTACTCAATTTCCCACCAAATCTGTTTCTTTTCTTGACTTCTCTAGCTGTGCAAATGGTCCTGACCACTCTCTTAGTCATGCTGGCTCCAGACCTCAGTCCTCCTTGCCTCTTCCCTTAATTCTTTACATAGTAAGTTTCATCTATAGAAAATTCTGAAAAGGGGCGCCTGGGTGGCTCAGTCGGTTAAGCATCTGCCTTCAGCTCAGGTCATGATCCCAGGGTCCTGGGATTGAGCCCCACATTGGGCTCCCTGCTCTGCGGGGAGTCTGCTTCTCCCTCTGCCTCTTCCCCCTGCTCGTGCTTCCTCTCTCTCTCACACTTTCTCTCTCAAATAAATAAAATCTTTTAAAAGAAAGAAAGAAAATTCTGAAAATCCATAAAAATAACAGGTAGAAGATATAGTCATTTATAACGGAACTATTTTCAGTGCTGTCTAGTGTATCATTTTAGTCATATTCCTAGGCAAGTACGATTTAATTTCCTATACACATGAATACAGCCATACTCTACATTTTTGGAATAACCTTTTTATTGAAGTAAAACAGTCATGCAGAAATGTACACAAGCAGAAACTGATGACTTTTCATTCATTAAATATTCTTCCACATCAATTTTAAAAGGCTTCAGAGGTATTCCATCCCATAGATGTACCATAATTTAAACAACTAATCCCTGTTGTAGGATTTATTTTTCTAGTCTTCTCATCCCTCTCTCCACAATTAAAAATTTTTGTACCAATTTCCAATTTTTCTTCAGAATAAAATTCCTTAGAGGCAAAATTTCTGGGTCAAAAGGCAGGTGCATTTTAAAAAATAACCTTTTTATTTTAGACTACTGTTAGGCATGCAGAAAAATTACAAAGGTACTACAGACAGTTCCTGTACACCCCATACTCAGTTCCCCTATTAACATCTTACATTAACATAGAACATTTGTCACAATTAATGAACCAACACTGAGGCATTATTATTAACTAAAGTCCATAGTTTATCCAGGTTTCTTTAGTTTTTACCTAAGGTCCTTTTTCTGTTCCAGTATCCCACCTAGGATACCACACTACATTTTGTTGTCACATTTCCTTAGACTCTTCTTGGCTGTGACAATTTCTCAGACTTTCCTTGACTTTTTTTGCCCTTAACAATTTTGAGGAATACTGGTCAAGCATTCTGTAGAACGTCCCTCAATTGGGGTTTGTCTGATTTTTTTCTCTTGATTAGACTGGGTTTATGGGGTTTGGAAGGAAAGTATCATAGAGATAAAATGCCACTTTCATCATATCATAGCTAGCCTACATAGGATCAACATGATTTATCACTGTTCATGTTAACCTTGATCACCTGGCTGAGGTAGAGCTTGCCTAGTGTCTCCACTACACTCATTTTCCCTCTTTCCATGCTGTACTCTTTAGAAGGAAGTCACTACACATAGCCCACATTCAAGGAGTTGGGAGTTTTATTTCAGGATGAATTATCTACAGAAATTCTTCGGAATTTTTCTGCTCCAGAGATTTCTCTTCCCTGTTTATTATTTTATTCATGTCAGTATTCATATCATTAGTTTACTTATGTCACTATAGAGTCATGGGTATTAATTTTACAGAGTTTTAATCCAAAAGTACTTTACTTGTTTTGTTGCTCAAGGCATCTGTATTTGCAAGACTGAGTAATTCACTTCAAAGGTACCCGGCTAATAGTTGTGCCAACTCTCACAGTCAAGAATGAGGATACATTTCCTCTCAATTTCACACACCCTTTATAAAAGTAGGTCAGCAAACAAGGGCGAGGCGGAGGTCCCTCCCTAGTGCCCTGTTTCTTGACGTTCCCAAGGCAGACGAGGCCAGACTGGGGAGGGGTGTCCTTTCCCAGATGTGGACATCATCCCTTACACCGCCCGCCCTTAACCACCGCCCCCTGGGGCCCCCAACCCCTGTTCCCGGCTTCTCCAAGGCCCCGCCCTCCGTGGGACGGAAGTGGGCGCGGCCACAGACCGGAAGCGCTGGGCAGGGGCGGGCCTTCCCGAGCAGCTAGCCCCTCCCACTCCACCACTGCCCCACCCCTCCGGCCCAGACAGGAAATGAGGTCAGAAAGGGAAACCCCGGCGGGGAGACTCGGCCCCAAAAGCGGCGGCCATTGGAGGTGGCTGCGGCAGCTGGTGAGGGGGAGGAGTGGGTTGAGAGGGTCGGGGTCCCGGGGGCCGGCGCCAGCGGGGATCGGGACTACCGGCCAAGGCCGAGGGGCCATAGCCGCCACGGGGCTGCGGAGGTTGGCGGGAGGGGCGAGGGTGGCTGGGCCTTGTTTTTCGGGGCCCATCGACCCCATCCCGGGAAACCAGGTTCGGGCGTCTCCGGGGCGACAGTCACCTCTTCTCCTTTCTTCTTTCTGGCTCTTTTGGGCATACGACGGCGTGAGGGCTTGGTGTCCCGAGCCGTGTTCGCCCTAGTCTTCGGGGGCGGGCCGGGGCGTGGGGGAGTCCTTCCAAACAAGCTCTTTCTCACATCTGTGGCCATGTTGCGACCCCTGATCACGGAGGGAGTTTAGTCGCCAGGACTTTTTTTTTTTTTTTTTCAGTTTCTGCCCGAGAAGGGCTGACTCCCTGCCCCGGTGAGCCCAAATGAGAAGTTGCTTCCTGCCGCCTGCCTCCGTCCCAGCTCCTCGCAACCCCGTCTTTCGCTCCGACCGTACGCCTGCCTTTTTTTTTTTTTTTTTTTTTTTTAAACTTCTATCCGTTTCCCGTTCTTTTCTTTGCGTGGCTTACCTTTCCTCTCCTCGAGTGCTTGCTGGACAAGGGGGTCCTCTCGGAGTGTGCATCCGAGACTGACGGTGTGGGAAGCTCAGGGTTCTGTCACCAACTGTTCGAATTGCAGTCCTTTCGATAGGAAAGGATTCTGCACAAATAGCTGCAAGTGGTTCTGTAACGTTGTTCCACGTTAAAGTGTACAGTTCTGCCTGAGTTTTTAAAGCAGTAGTTCTTTATTAAGGAAGTAGGTTTAGACGTGCTGTCCCTACATCTCTTTTGGTCTTAGGGGCAGTTGTCTCCCAAACCCCAGTCAGGGCGTTTTAAACTGCTTCGTATTGCTTAAAGGGACTTGGTCATTTTATGTTGTGTGGCTTTTGAAACTTTGAGACGTTTTGTTTGGTTGGTAGTTTTGGAACTAGGTGTTCCCATTGCTCCCACCCATGTGGCACATAAGCCAGCCTACTGTCTTCTTGCCTTTGAATTCTTTGGCATAGGACAGCATGAAAATAGGTTTTAGAAAGTCCTTTGTGGAATGTAAACTGCATGAATGGAAATGCGGTCTAAGAGTGGCGCCACACAGTTTTAAATTCTAATTATGGACTTGAAATTGGGCTTAACAAGGGCTAGGGAGAAGATGCTAAATTAATACGTATTTAATAAGGAGTTGTATAAATTATATTAGACCTTTCCCTTTAAAAGGTCGTTTTGAAAATTTCTCCTTCTGCTCTCATCCCTTAGAAGGTTTGCCTCTGAAGTGACCCCTGAAGTATGAGGGTTTGACAAGAATGAATATAAAAATTGAGAAAGCGGTTAGCTAGAAATCTTAGAGACTCCATCTATCCGTGTCCTTTCAGCCTCCCTTATAGCCTGCTTTTGTGTGAGTGATACTAAAGCACATACTTATGATCACTTAATTTTCTGAAGGATAGGAAAAGAGCTAAAAAGTTGCTAATTGTTAAAAAATATATGACATACCCGGTAAATTTCCTTCCCTGCTAGCTTCCAGGTGGTATTTGGGACCAGAATGGGTGCAGACTTAAGTCTCTTTTTTCCATTCAGGGTACACATCTGGGTCACTACAATTTCTTGGATTACTAAAACTGCAAGCAGTGGTCCCTAAGGTGTGTCACTAAGTTGTCTTTCTCCTCCCTTCCAGAAGTATTCTTTTTTTAATTTTTTTTTTTAAGATTTTGATTATTTATTTGACAAGAGAGAGACACAGTGAGAGAGGGAACACAAGCAGGCATTCTTATCAGTAACCCCAGAGCATGGAATAGTTCTTTATCCATGGTTTTGAAGTTGTGTGTTTTTCTGCTCTTGTCTAATGAGACTTTCTCTAATCTTTTTGGATTTTATCATCAGATAATTTAGTGATAAGTTTAATTGGGGAAAAGGGGGAAAGATTTATTTCCCTGGGTTTGCTCATTTTTGCTAATATCCTAGTTGTGATCTGGTGAGTGATTTTTTTTGTGCTTTAAGAACATGTTTACTTGATGTACCTAACAAGGGCCAAAGACCTATTTTTGGTGGCTTAAGGGTGCATGGATGGGAGGAACAGAGTCTTACGTGTAGCTAGATGAAAGGTGACTTTGTTTTCTGTAGATAGGGTGGATTCTGCAGTGCCATGATATATTTTATAAAACTATTGTAAACAACAGAATTTTATTCAGGCTTTCTTTTTCTTTTTTCCTGAACTTTCTTTTGGCAGATGTGGCCTCATGGATGAGCTGGTACATGACTTAGCCTCAGCCTTGGAGCAGACATCTGAGCAGAATAAGCTTGGTGAGCTGTGGGAGGAGATGGCCCTGAGCCCTCGCCAGCAGAGGCGGCAGCTTCGCAAAAGGAGAGGCCGCAAGCGCCGTTCAGACTTCACTCACCTGGCAGAGCATACCTGCTGCTACAGTGAGGCCTCTGAGTCCAGTCTCGATGAGGCCATTAAGGACTGTCGAGAAATGGCCCCTGTTGCCAATTTTAGTGACTCTGATGACACAATGGTAGCCAAACGGCACCCAGCTCTCAATGCCATGGTTAAGAGTAAGCAGCACTCTTGGCACGAATCTGACTCCTTTACCGAAAATGCACCATGTCGACCGCTCCGGCGCCGGCGGAAGGTGAAGCGAGTGACATCAGAGGTGGCTGCCAGCCTCCAGCAGAAGCTCAAGGTGTCAGATTGGAGCTATGAGAGAGGCTGCAGGTTCAAGTCTGCTAAGAAGCAGCGTCTGTCCCGCTGGAAAGAGAATACTCCCTGGACCTCCTCAGGTCATGGGTTGTGTGAGTCAGCAGAAAATAGGACTTTCCTAAGCAAAACAGGAAGGAAAGAAAGGATGGAGTGTGAAGCAGATGAACAAAAACAGGGCTCTGATGAGAACATGTCAGAATGGTGAGAACTCCCTTACCCAGGGTTATTTTTACCCCAAGTACAAATCCACAGTCTTGATGAGTTCAGCTTTCTTTCCGAAGTAGCCACTGTAATGTTTACTTTGTAGCCCTCCTTTAAGCAATCAGCTAGGGTTTATCTCTAGCTTTTTACAGTACATTCATCATTGTGTTTCCCCGCGTCAAGGAGGCTACATATAATGAAACACATTTGTTTCTAAAAGTGGTTTAAAATGTGTACTTCACATGCGTAACCATGAATTTTGTTTTAAAAATTTACTGCTGTTTATGCCATGTAGATCATATGTAGATGTTGTAGATGTTGTTAGAACGAGGGTCTCAGCAGAGGCTGGGGGGTGTGTTTGTGTACGTGAGAAAATGCTGGTGCGAGGCACATGGAGTTTGTGTGTTTTCCTGGTAAACTGCCTTTCCCCATCAAGAGTCATGGCTTTAGATACTGGGCTATAATTCTGTTGTCTGCTCCTTCCAGTTTGACTGTATGGACCTGATTTTTTATGGCTGACATTCAGGTTGTCTGAACACATGGTGGGCTTTGAAAATAACAGTACTGAATCCCATTAGTCTTATAACAAATGTCATCGTGCCAGAAACATTTGGATCTGTTGGGTGTATGTTTAAAATGGCAGTGTAGTTTTCGGTGACTTTGTTTTCTGTATTTCAGATAGTCCTAGGAACATTGATAATCCCCACCTTGATACTTCAGTATTATTCTTAATATCAGCATGATATCTGTTTCTCAAGGAAGATGCTCTTGGTATTTTGGATGGGGCGATTCTTTGTGGTCAGGGACTGTCCCATGCTTTACAGGATATTTGGCATCCCTGCATTGTTCCCATCCCTTTCATAGTATCAAAGCAAATGCCTCTATGGGTGCTGCCTTTTCCCAGTTGAATGTTCAGAACGCCACTGTATGGTAGGCACAGCTGTTCGTATTTTATAGAAGAGGAGATGGAGGTTAATAGCATTTAGATAATTTGCCTAAGGTCACCCAGTGGCAAAACTAGGAATTGAACCTGATTCCGAAGTTCATACTTAACCACTTAACCACCACGTTTTGCCGCCCTTTAAGTGTGCCTTTTCCATGGCTCTTTTTCCGTCTCATCTTAGTTTTACACCTGTAGAATGTGTGGCCTTTCTTAGGACTTTCCTTTTTTGAAGTTTGTCTGAAAAACAAAGACATAAATCGTAGGAACTATGAGGTGAAGCTATGTCAGTAACAGGGAAAGCTGCTTAGGTGTTTATCCCTGTACCTTTAATGGGTGATTTTTAACCCAGTTTTAACAGTTTTTCTGACTAACTGTATATTTGCCACTCTGCACAACCAGATAGGCTTATAATTTGGCTTCCCTAATTTTCCTTTAATGTATATCCTAAGACCTATTTGCCCAATTTATATGTATGATTTTGGGTTATGAAGGGTTTGTTTATTGTTATTTTTAATCAAATAAATGTTTAGTCAACTTAATGGCCTTTTACAATATCAAAACCCTCATTTGAGGCATTTTAAGTTTGTTTTGGTATCAAACCTATATACCAAATAATTTACTGTTGAAAATAGTGATTGTTAAAAATTGTTTTTTGCGATGATAGCTTGTGTATATTTTTTTCCCCAGAATTTCTTGTTAAATTATGAAGTAATTGTAGGTGAAGAGACTGATTCTGTCTACTCTTAAGGTAACAGTCCAAGAATGGTTCCAGATACAGAGTCTGTAAGTAATCTAGCAGTGAGGCACTTCAGTCTTTCCAGTTCCTTCTTACCCCAGACACATCTATTGCATGTTATAGTCAGGTTGTAATAATAAACATTCTAGTTATATGAGAGCTTTGATAAGTTGAAGTAGGCAGCAATTCTTAGGAAATTCTTATTCTTTTCAAATTGAGAAGACCTTGTTACCCCCCATTTGTGCTATCTGCCTGGTCCATGACTTCAAGAGTTCTTTAATAACATGGATGGCCAAGTCCTTGTAGCTATGAGGGAATAATAGGTTGAGTAGTAGCAGACCTAAAATGAGAATACTTCTTTAGAATCTAATTATTTAGGAGTCTTAAATATGCCTCGACTTATGTTGCTTCATCTGTAGTTATGAGCAGAAGTGCTCTGTATTTTTTCACCCTAAATCTACTCTATGGAGAAAGAGAGGTGACTGCAAGTTATATTCAGTCTCTCAAGTAAGATGGAACTAAAATCTTCTTCCCTCAATTATTATTATTATTATTTAAAGATTTTATTTATTTATTTGAGAGAGAGAACATGAGCCAGGTGAGGGGCAGAGGGAGCCTGATGCAGGACTTGATCCTGGACTCCAGGATCATGACCTGAGCCGAAGGCAGACGCTCAACCAACCGAGCCAGTAAGTCCAGGCGCCCCTAGAACTTTACTTTTTATCAGTGGTATTAAGGATTGACAGTCTCGGGCGCCTGGGTGGCTCAGTTGGTTAAGCGACTGCCTTCAGCTCAGGTCAGGATCCTGGAGTCCCGGGATCGAGTCCTGCATCGGGCTCCCTGCTCTCAGCAGAGAGTCTGCTTCTCCCTCTGACCCTCCCCCCTCTCATGTGCTCTCTCTCTCTCATTCTCTCTGTCTCAAATAAATAAATAAAATCTTTAAAAAAAAAAAAAGATTGTCAGTCTGTATGATTCAGCTTGTAAAATTATTAGGATGAAGGTGATCATTAAGCTTAATTTAGCCTTGTCAGTAGATAGAATTCTTTTAAAAAAAATGTGTGTCATATGTTTTAGGTTTGAAAGTGTTATGTCTCACCCGGAGAGCTTTATTTCTCATTTCCTTAAACTCACTTTACTAATTAACCATGGAATAGTCTTAAGTTTGACCAATAATTCTTTTTACTTCTCTTTTTCTGTTCTTCATTCAATTCTACACCAACCAATCCCTTAGAAGTTCTAAGGAACTGAAAGTGGTTATGATGTAATAGTATTTTATACCTACAAAAAGATCAGTTGTTATTTTAATATTTTCCTGTGTATGTGTGTTCCATTCTAAAATGGAGCAGTTCTTTTGTAAAGTTAGTTTTTACTGTATTCATATTGTCTATATAGCAGCTATTAGGTGATTCATAGCCTAATTTTGCTCTGTTCTCCACTAACATATCATTTGTTTGTTCCCCTTGAATATAGTTTAGCTTCTGTTCTTTTATAAGTGAATTGGTTTGGTGTTGACCTGAAGTCTCAGTCAGGAGCCTTCCTAAGGTGATGTATTAGAGGCCGATCTCACAGGAAAGAAAATATTCCCTTCTCTTGGAAGGCAAGTGACAGAGATAGAGTGCTAAACCTCCCCCCTCCTTCTCCAGCCCAGGCTGACCTTCTGCGGCCCCTTGCTGCCTCTTGTTTTCTTATTTTTATAGAAAATCAATATCCCTTCTGACACAAACAGTAGCTCAGAAGCAAGAATAAATGGGAGAAAGCTGAGATCTCTGTCCATCACCTTTCATTTTAACTCCCCAAACTCTTTAATTATGAGCATGCTTTGCTCCAGGTGTTTGTGACAGTGAAATTGCTAAATGAGGACCATTTTAACCAAAGATTGGGTGATCAGTAACACTCTATAGCAGTAGCTTGTTGGATCAATAGCATTCATTATTTCATGGTTAAGGTAAGTAGCTTCTTTTGCAAGTGGAGCTCATTAATCAGAGGCTACTGGAACTGTGGGAAGGAATATACATGGTAGCTTGAGGTGGTTTTGTTTCCCATTCCATAACTGGGGATGCTGGCCAAGAGTACCTTTACCATTGTTGCAAATGGTACTGTTGCATTTGAGAGCATTAAATAGGTACTGTGGTGTGCTTACATAGATTTACTCCAAGTTCTGCTAGTATATATCCTTAGGAACAACTGAGAAAGACAGCTTGGGAGGTGGATTTGATACTACTGTATTTGAAGATCTGTCTCTTGAAAGAAATGTGTTCCGATTATTTTGTGTGACTCTAGAGGACAGTGGTAGAACTCAGAAAGCACAGAGAGTTAAATGTTGCCTCACTAACATTCTAAAAATTTGCATTCTAAAAATGAAATGAATTGTCTCACGGGGTGATGAGCTCTAGGTCACTGAAGGGGTTCAGGCCTGGGCCTTGGTGACCATGTACTGAGTTAGTGTAGAGTTGGAGAGGTTGCACTGCATGATCTTTCAGGCCCCTCCGACACTGAGATTCTGTCATCGTTTTCAGTCACAGCCTCATTCCAGCGCATCATTGCAACTTTCTATTTTAAAAAGCATCTGATAAGCAGCGTGAGCTGCCTACTAAAATACTTACAAAGACATAAAACGTTGTAAACTCACATCATCAGAACCTAGGACCTAGAGTTGGCCTCTTGCCAAGATTTCCTCAAACCACAAGGCTGATAGATGTGCGGTTGGAAGCCCACATCAGCAGCGCCAAACCGATGCTGCAGGTAGGTAGCCAGAGCCTTCCTCCTTGCTCTGTAGTCAGATCTTTGTTCACAAATGCAAGGTCCATTTCAGTCAGAAAATCAGGCAGCTGCAGCTTGAGCTGGAGTGTTGTTCCTTCCTTTACAGTAGTCCCCTCTTATGCACAGTTTCTTTCTGTGGTTTCAGTTCCCGGCAGTCAGGGGCAGTCTGGAAGCACATGACCCTCCTCCTGCCACATCAGAAGTACTTGGAGTAGCCTAACAGCCTCACAACGCCTGCGTCATCCGCTTCACTGCATTGCGAGCCGTAGGCATTTTACCCTCTCACGTGAGCCTAAGAGGAAGGGTGAGAATAGTGAGGTATTTTGAGAGGAAGAGACTGCATCCGTAAAACTTTTATGGTACTCTCTTGTGCTATTTTATTATTAGTTATTGCTTATCTTTTACTTTGCTTAATTTATAGGTAAAGCTTAATCACAGATATGTACGTATAGGAAAAAACATGGTCTGTATAGGGTTAAATACTATACAGTCTCAGGCATCCACTGGGAGTCTTAGAAGTCTGCCGTGGATAAGGGGGAGCTACTGTACTTCCCAGCCGGT